AAAGGAAGATGACAGTTTCCCAACCTGAGTTTCCGAAAAGATCAGTTCTCCATCATGGCCTGGTCTCTGCTTTTAGCTTTCTTCCTCTTATGGTGCACAGGTAATTTAGGAAGAATTCTCACCTCTGGATTCATCTGCTGGTTTGGAAAGCGTCAGCTTCAAGCTGTAATTGTGGTTTGATCCTGATATCAAAGCCACCCCTTCCTACCCTTTGAAACTCAGTGATCAGAGCAGCTCTTCCAAAGATACTCCAAGAGTGGATCTATAGGGTGTCAACCTTCATTCTCTTCACTTTTTTATTTTCAGGAGCCAACTCACAGTATACCTTGACTCAACCTGCGGCACAATCATTTCCCATGGGACAACCAGCAAAGATCTCATGTACCATGAGCCAAGACAGCCAAGTGGGCAGCTTTTACATACATTGGTTCCAACACAAGATTGGAGAGAGCCCCAAGTACCTTCTCTATGATAGTGGCAGCAACGGCCGATTCAAAGGGTCCATCGATGCCTCGGCCAATACAGCCTATTTAACCATTTCAAACCTCCAGGCTGAGGATGAGGCTGATTACTATTGTGGTAGTGCTTACGGCAGTGGCAGCACCTGGAGGTATCACAGTGATAAACTCACATGCAGAAGTGAGACAAAAACCTCCTCTTATTTGCAAACACGTCCTTCCTCCCCTTAGTCAACCATCAGTCTGGCCTGGGAAATTCTGACACAGTTAATCCTTAAGAAGAGAAGGCTGAGTCTACCTTGAGCCCATCAGGATTGATCTCCCCGCTGTGGGCAGAGTCAGACTGCAATAACCACTCCACCGCCATGACTCTTCTATTGCCACACCACCTATTTCAAAAAAAATGCTTTGCATCTGAGGGGTTGGTCCCAAGACTCTGTGACATATAAAAGAGAAGGCACAAGAGTTGGAGCAGATGAACTTTTATTTGCCCTCAGAAGGAAAATACACCAGCATTCTCATCATGTTCTGGGCTTCCTTCCTTCTCTCGTTCCTGGTCAACTCCTCAGGTGCTGTTAAAGGGGAGAGGTCATTGATTAGATGTTTCATCAAGTGAAAATGTTCTTTTGCACAAGACATTATTTATTTCTTTATTTCTTTGCACAGGATCCTTTGCTCAGTATGTCCTGACCCAACCGGGCCTGGTCTCTGCTCTTGACTTTCTTCTTCTTATGGTAGACAGGAAATTTAGGAAGAATTATCACCTATGGTTTCCTGTGATGGCTTGGAAACCATCAGGCTTGATATCAAGCTGTAATGATGGCTTGATCCTGATATCAAAGCCACCCCTTTCCATGCCTTCCAACCCAACAAAATTCAGTGATGTCTGGATTTCAATCAGAGCAGCTCTTCCAAAGATACTCCAAGAGTGGATCTATAGGTTCTCCTCCTTCATTCTCTTCCCTTTTTTTATTTTCACGAGCCAACTCACAGATTACCTTGACTCAACCTGCGGCACAATCGTTTCCCCTGGGACAACCAGCAAAGATCTCATGTACCATGAGCCAAGGCAGCCAAGTGGGCAGCTATTACATATCTTGGTACCAACAGAAGGTTGGAGAGAGCCTCAAATACCTTCTCTATGATAGCAACAGCAATGGTCGATTCACGGGGTCCAAGGACCCCTCTGCCAATGCAGCCTATTTAACCATTACAAATCTCCAGGCTGAGGATGAGGCTGATTACTATTGTGTTGTTAATTATGGTACAAGTAACAACCTACACCCACAGTGATACACGCTCTTGCAGAAGTGAGACAAAAACCTCTCCTTGTGGTAACTTGTGAACGCTTCCTTCTTCCTCTGAACTAACCATCAGTCTGGCCTGGGAAATACTGACACAGTTGATACTTAAAGAACAGACTCAGTTCTTCTCTCAACTGTCTTACTACAGTTTTCAAATATTTTCTGCGAAGAAACAATTCAATATTGAAACTCAATATTTCAACAGAAACAAGCGCTTTATAAGAGTGTGGACAGAGCAACCCAGGCGATTGGCTGAATTTCTCCAACATGGTTTTCAGTTTGGAAAATGATTTTACCAGAATTCCTAATTTCTCAGGGAGTTTGGGGTTTTTTCGATCCAATTTCTTTGTTAAGGAGATGAAGAAAATAAAGGTTAAGTTTGATCACCGAAGGCTTTTTGAGAGCTTGATGATGGCTTAAGAATGTAAAATAAAGACTTCGACAACGAGTCAGCCAGGAATTGACCAAATTATATATACAACCAGAGTTAAAATGTATTAAATTATGCACTGGATCCTGTAAGCTTCCTTGCAAAACTAGCCACAGTGTGAAGCAGGAAAGCTCGTACAGTCTGATTAACAAAAGGACTATATGACAAATCAGCATCCTCTTTTAATGACCCCTTGCGGGATGGAGTCTGGGCAGCTGAATGGAGCTGAGTATTGACTGGCCAGATGCCCTTCCTGTCACCAATGCTGAGTTTTGTTCAGCAGATATATTCTCAGTCTGCCCAGAGGGAGAAATACCTAGGATCGAAATCCCAGCCTCCTGATTGAGAGGTGAGAGCTTCAGCTCTAGGCCACTGCACGACTCACAATATGACAAATATGATCTACTAATGATGATAAAATTTAATCCTTCACCAAGAATGACAGATGTATTCAACTGAATGTGAATAGTGATCTTGTAGATGGATCGGCAAGTTTTACAAAGAAAGTTTTTGTATTAATCTCTGAGCCAATTTTTATTCTGGGTGCTTGATTTGCACCTCTGTCCCAAGCGTGAGGCTTATCTTTCTGCAGAAAACACCATCTGGAATAAACGTTCTCATCCCAAATGTGACACACAAACAATTCCTGGGGATTTATTCCCACAGGGTTCAATGCTTAAAGAATGTTAACAGTTTTTAGGAAAAAAAAGTCTTTAATTAGCAAACCAGTTTTTCAAGTAGTAAGATGGGAAGAGAGACTGTACATGGATATCAATAGATCTTTATAAAAGTCTAGTAAGGCCAAACCTGAAATACGGCATCCAATTTGGGTCACCATGTTACAAAAAGGATATTGAGGCTTTAGAAAGAGTGGATAGAAAAGAGCAACTAAGTTGTCTAAAACATATAAAGAACAGTTGCAAGAA